CTCAAACCAATTCTATTTGCTGACGACACAACCTTCATTTACTCCAGTCCTGACCCTCTTGCTCTAAATGCCACAGTAAATACTGAGCTAAATAAAGTCCATCTTTGGCTAACTGCCAACAAACTCACCCTTAACATTGACAAAACCTTCTATATTCTGTTTGGCAATAAATCCTCTAGTCTTATAAATCTCAAAATAAACAATACCCAAATTTGTAACAAATTAGATGGCAAATTCCTGGGCATTCTCATTGACCACAAGCTGAATTTCCAGGGACACATTCTAAATATATCAAAAAAAGTTTCAAAAACTGCGGGCATTCTTTCTAAGATCAGATATTATGTACCACGCCCTGCTCTGGTGACTCTCTATTACTCCCTTATCTATCCTTATCTCAACTATGGTATTTGTGCTTGGGGTTCTACTACCCAAAATCACTTACGTCCTCTAATTACCCAACACAAAGCCGCTATTAGAACAATATCCAACTCTGGCCCCAGACATCACTCGGTACCCCTACTCAAATCTCTTAATATGTTAGATATTAAGTCACTGCACATTCTCTCATGTGTATTATACATATATAAAACGCTAAACTATAATGCCAATCCTGATCTTAAAAGCTTCATAGAAGGTTGTAACAGAACCCATGAGCACCACACCAGAAATAAATACAGTTTTGATATTCCTAGAGTACGTCTTAATCAAACTAGAAATGCTCTGCAAATCAAGGGGCCCAGAATGTGGAATGACCTTCCCAACCATGTTAAAGACTGTACCTCTCTCAACCAGTTTAAGATAAAAACTAAACACTACCTAATAAATTCCCTGTAATCTACCTCACTCCTCTATTGTCAACCCATGTCTGTTATTTTCTTTTTTTTTTTTGTGCTGCTTTTTCTTAATCAACACTGTTTGTCAACCTATTGTATTTGTGCTGCTTTTTCAGTCATGTTCCCCCTTTTTTTTTTATCTTTATTTGTATTTGTTCTCAACATCTTTTATTCTTTATGCTCAATTAGTATTAAGTTCTAGATATTAATGTTTTTTCTTGCCCGAAACGCATTGCGTAATAGTGGCTTTAGGCATTGTATGTACTAGCTCTATCTATATATCAATCCATTAATGTAACATCACTTGTATGTATATACCTTACCTGAATAAACATCTGAATCTGAATCTCTGAATCTGTATTGCAGGGAGTGTCCTCTGACTCCATAATGATGTAATTTAAGAAGAAGGTTTTGATGGTTGACAGTGTCAAAAGCCTTACGCAGGTCCACAAATAACCCAACAGGAAACTCCTTTTTATCAAGAGCTGCGTGAATTAAGTTAATCATACTAATAAGTGCATCGTTAGTGCTTTTTTTGGGTCTGAAGCCATATTGACAAGAGCTAAGTATATTGTGTTTGGCTAGAAAAGAGTAAAGCTGCTTGTAGATTAGCTTTTCGAATATTTTTGACAAGTTAGGCAGGATTGATATAGGTCTGTAGTTGTTAACATCAGTGAGATCATCACATTTGTAGACAGGGGTTACTCTTGCTTTTTTTAGAATGTCAGGAAAGGTTTGGAGTTCAAGTGACTTGTTGAAGAGCAATGCAATAGCAGGGGCTAGAGATCTGGAGGCTTTTTTGTAAATTAAAGTTGGTATCTCCTCGAGGGCACTAGACTTGGTTTTAAGGGAAAGGATTATCTCATTGACATCAGTGGAACTAGTAGGCTTTAGGTACAGAGACTGTGGATAGTTACCTGTAAGATAGTCCTTAATGTCAGCACTGGAAGATGGAATATCATTTGCAAGGGATGACCCAATGGAAGAGAAGAACCTATTGAACTCAATAGCAGAATCAGAGGCTGAAAGCTGACCAACGTTATTGGAAAGGAGTGTTGGTTTGTTATTTAAAATCTTCTTTGATCCCAATATTTGTGAAATTGTGCTCAAGTTTTTTTAATGTTGCTCTTTATTTGGGTAAATTTATCTTCATAGTATTTAGTTTTGGCTCGTCTAATTATTTTAGATAGCAATAACGAGTAATTCTTTGAGAATTCTTTGGAGACTGTTCCTAGCCTATACTTCTTCTCAAGGTCGTGTTTTTTGTTAATGGATTTAAGTATTCCCTTTGTAAGCCAAGGATTGTTAAGTCTTTTGCTTGTGACTTGTTTTGTAAGCATAGGACAGTGGGTGTTATAAAGGCTAAGAGTTGTTTGTAGAAAAGATTTCACTGCTAGGTTGATGTCCCCTATGTTACCTAACTCGGACTCCCAGTTGACATTATCAGCAGCAGTTATAAAATTGTTTATAGCAGTTTCATTGTGCAGCCTAAAGCTTAACTCCCTTGTCTCTAGAGGTGGTTTGCTAATGTTAGTTAAGAGAAATGTGGGGTAATGGTCTGTAGTGCTATCAGTGATTATACCTGAAGTAAGCGGAGAGGTTATGTTGGTCCAGATGTGATCTAGAGTCGTAGCAGTACTATCAGTGATTCTAGTTGGTCTAGTGATTAAGGGTATGAGGAAGCAGGAATTCATACAGTTGAGGAAGCTAACAGCAGTAGGGTGTTCAGGCTCGCAGAGGTCAATATTAAAGTCCCCTGCGATAATTAGATGGTTTTTGTTCAATCTGTTATCTAGTATTAGATTTCTAAGGTTTGAGTTGAATTCAGACACATCAGTGTTAGGAATTCTATAGACTGCACCCACAGACAGGACAGACTCGGCACCCTTGACTCTGAAACTGGCGAAGATATACTCCCCACAGCAGTCTCTAGTTCTAATTATTTTTAAGCATGTTAGTTCTTGGTGGTAGTAAAGAGCAGTACCACCACCTCTCTGCATTTGACGACAGTTGTGAATTGCCGAGTAGTTAGGCATGTTAAAGAGTTGAGTTGAGTTTTAGTTCATTATTAACAACATCATTTAGTGTTTGTGGGTTGGGGTTGGAGTAGATGAGGGTAGTATCATCAGCAAACAAAATAGGTTTCAGAATGTTAGAGACATTAGGCAGATCATTGATGTATATAATAAATAGAAGAGGTCCCAAGATGCTGCCCTGTGGCACTCCAACGGTTATTGGTAGAATGGGAGAGGTTATATTATTGATGGCTACACATTGGTGTCTATCACTAAGATAGGATTGGATATAGTCCAGTGCATGGCCTCGGATTCCATAATGATGGAGTTTACATAAGAGGTAATCGTGATTAACAGTATCAAAGGCCTTTCTCAGGTCAATGAAGAGTCCAATCGGAAACTCATTTTTGTCAAGGGCTGAGTAAATAATATCAAGGAGACTAATAATTGCATCATCTGATATTAGAAAGAATGCCAACAGTTTTTGAAACTTTTTTTGATATATTTAGAATGTGTCCCTGGAAATTCAGCTTCTGGTCAATGAGAACGCCAAGGAATTTGCCATCTACTTTGTTACAAATTTGGGTATTGTTTATCCTGAGATTTATTTGATTTGAGGATTTATTGCCCCCCCAAATCAAATAAATCTCTGGATAAATGTTGTTTGTTAACCAACTTTTATATTGGCTATTTTCTACCATTTTCCTCCCCTTTTTTATCTTTTTTTTTCTTTCACCGCAATTTATACTTTAAGCTCAATTACTATTAAGTTTTTAGTCTAAGTGTTTTTTTCCCCACCTCACCTTGCCCGAAACGGTGTGCGTACTAAAATAAATAAAAATAAAATGTTTATTCAGGTAAGGTACATACATACAAGAGATTTTCCAAAATTTGATCAATTTATAGATAGAGCTAGTACATACAATGCCTAAAGCCATTATTACGCAAAGCGTTTCGGTCAGGAAAAACATTAATGACTAAAACTTAATACTAATTGAGTATAAAGAATAAAATGTGTTGAGAACAAATAAAAATAAAGACAAAAAAGGGGGGAACATGGCTGAAAAAGCAGCACAAATAACAATTGTGATCTTAATTGTGATCTTAATTGTGATCCTGATCTTAAAAGCTTCATAGAAGGTTGTAACAGAACCCATGAGCACCACACCAGAAATAAATACAGTTTTGATATTCCTAGAGTACGTCTTAATCAAACTAGAAATGCTCTGCAAATCAAGGGGCCCAGAATGTGGAATGACCTTCCCAACCATGTTAAAGACTGTACCTCTCTCAACCAGTTTAAGATAAAAACTAAACACTACCTAATAAATTCCCTGTAATCTACCTCACTCCTCTATTGTCAACCCATGTCTGTTATTTTCTTTTTTTTTTCTTTTTTTTAATCAACACTGTTTGTCAACCTATTGTCTTTGTGCTGCTTTTTCAGTCATGTTCCCCCTTTTTTTTTATCTTTATTTGTATTTGTTCTCAACATCTTTTATTCTTTATGCTCAATTAGTATTAAGTTCTAGATATTAATGTTTTTTCTTGCCCGAAACGCATTGCGTAATAGTGGCTTTAGGCATTGTATGTACTAGCTCTATCTATATATCAATCCTTTAATGTAACATCACTTGTATGTATATACCTTACCTGAATAAACATCTGAATCTGAATCTGAATCTGAATTAGGTCGACAAACAGCGTTTAAAAAAAAAAAACAGACATGGGTTGACAACAGAGGGGTAAGGTAGGTTACAGGGAATTTATTAGGTAGTGCTTCGTTTTTACCTTAAACTGGTTGAGAGAGGTACAGTCTTTAACATGGTTTGGAAAGTCATTCCACATTCTGGGTCCCATGATTTGTAGAGCATTTCTAGTTTCATTAAGTCTACTAGTGGCTTTAGGTATTGTATGTACTAGCTCTATCTATAAATCCAACATTATGTTTGTAAATCAACTATGTATGTACTTTCCTGAATAAAATTTACTTTAATTTACTTTACCTAAATAAACGATTTGATTTGATTTGTCTAATGGGAATGACAGTCTTTTTATAATTAATTACATATCTTGAATTTTATATATAAAGACAAAATCCATACGAAATATATTTATAATTAATGGTGGATACCTTTACACTGAGGTTACCTTTACAGTAAGGTTACCTTTATACCGAGGCTACCTTCAGTGGCAAGATGGCGGCCTCCATCGCCCGTGTTGTCGGTGAGGAGCAAAATATTTACTCTACATTGTGCTTGCTTTTCCCGCCCTTTGTCAGTACTCTGAGGTTTATAATGGCCCAGTGAAGGGAGACGGATACAAGGACTTGCATTTATATGTTGTGCATTATTATATAGCAAGGTGTGGCGGGGTGAAGGCTAGGTCAGGTCTTCGTAGGCAAGTGTTTTCACTGTAGACTAGTCACTGCTGGTCACTGTAGTGTGTTGCTGCTGGTCACTGTAGACTAGTGTGTTGCAGCTGGTCACTGTAGACTAGTGTGTTGCTGCTGGTCACTGTAGACTAGTGTGTTGCTGCTGGTCACTGTAGACTAGTGTGTTGCTGCTGGTCACTGTAGACTAGTGTGTTGCAGCTGGTCACTGTAGACTAGTGTGTTGCAGCTGGTCACTGTAGTGTGTTGCAGCTGGTCACTGTAGTGTGTTACAGCTGGTCACTGTAGTGTGTTGCAGCTGGTCACTGTAGTGTGTTGCAGCTGGTCACTGTAGTGTGTTACAGCTGGTCACTGTAGTGTGTTGCAGCTGGTCACTGTAGTGTGTTGCAGCTGGTCACTGTAGTGTGTTACAGCTGGTCACTGTAGTGTGTTACAGCTGGTCACTGTAGTGTGTTGCAGCTGGTCACTGTAGTGTGTTGCAGCTGGTCACTGTAGTGTGTTACAGCTGGTCACTGTAGTGTGTTGCAGCTGGTCACTGTAGTGTGTTGCAGCTGGTCACTGTAGTGTGTTACAGCTGGTCACTGTAGTGTGTTACAGCTGGTCACTGTAGTGTGTTACAGCTGGTCACTGTAGTGTGTTGCAGCTGGTCACTGTAGTGTGTTGCAGCTGGTCACTGTAGTGTGTTGCAGCTGGTCACTGTAGTGTGTTACAGCTGGTCACTGTAGTGTGTTACAGCTGGTCACTGTAGTGTGTTGCAGCTGGTCACTGTAGACTAGTGTGTTGCAGCTGGTCACTGTAGTGTGTTGCAGCTGGTCACTGTAGACTAGTGTGTTGCAGCTGGTCACTGTAGTGTGTTGCAGCTGGTCACTGTAGTGTGTTGCAGCTTTTCACTGTAGTGTGTTGCAGCTGGTCACTGTAGTGTGTTACAGCATGCTAGTATTGCAGCTTGCCAGTAACATTTCTTACAGTATTAGGTATGGATAATTATGTATATAAAGGGTTGTAGCACTATAAATTACAGATGTCAAGTACAGTACAACCTCGACTCAACACACTATATGGGACCCACCTTAGTGTGTTTGGAGCGTTGGATGCGTTGCAAGAGGTGACCTTTAGGAGGCATTTGCGTTGGTGTCTCTTTTTTTTCTTGTATACAATAAAAATACATTATCATATTATATACCTATATATTATTACCCTACTAAAAAATACTGTGTTGTATCTGTTATTTACCTTATTATTGGAGTTATGTCCATCATAAAGTCTCATGGAGTTGTGAATGCTGTACAGTAAATACATACTGTAGTGTATTATACTGTTAACACTGTGCTGATTAAGTAGTTCTGCTGTATGTTGAGTACTACAATTCAGTTTATGAAAACTATTGTTCACTAAAATTACTGCAACTTTAATTTTAACACTATGTACACACTTCAATTTAACACTTGTTCTAACTGTTCACGCCACACACGATGTGTTTAGATCTTTGCATCAGCTTTGCTGGTGCTCGCTGCAGCTGTGGCTTCAGCTGCTTCTGAGCTGGTACAGGCTGCTGTTGTACCAGTGCTGGGTACAGCTGTGCTCGTGCTGGGTACGGCTGTGCTCGTGCTGGGTACGGCTGTGCTCGTGCTGGGTACGGCTGTGCTCGTGCTGGGTACGGCTGTGCTCGTGCTGGGTACGGCTGTGCTCGTGCTGGGTATAACTGTGCTCGTGCTGGGTATGGCTGTGCTCGTGCTGGGTACGGCTGTGCTCGTCCTGGTTGATTTTCTGCTACTAGTTCTTGCAAAATATTGCTTCATTTTTGGCATTAATAAGGCACAATTAGTAAGCCCCTGAGACATTTTGTTGTATAACAATACAGCTGTAGTAAAAAAATGGTAAATTCCATGATTATTCCTCCACCGGCGGATAAATACTGTACATCAATCGCAGACAAAGCTAAGGGCACTGGGTGCATACTGTACGAACGCAGAATAGGTCTATATGTGCACCTTACAGTAGGCTGGTGTTTAAGCCAGATCCAGTAACATAAATTTCTCTCAAATATTTGATTTACATCAAATTATATATTTTTGGTTATATATTTAGTTTAGTAACATTATTACGATAATAAGAGCTATAAAAATACTTATTTTAGAACTGATTTATTAATTTTATTATTTCGAAGCCGTATGTCACTGAGCTGTGGTGACGAATCGAACAAAACACGCATGGTGTTGTGTGCACACGGATTAGACCCGTCCACTTGCGCTGGAGTTCTGCTGCCAATAACATGAACAATTTCTCAAATAGCAGATACCTATCATATTACAGTACATTTTTGGTTTTATTTAGTTTAGTTTAATTAGGATAATAAAGAGTTATTAAAACACCAGTTTTAGAAATGATTTATTAATCTGAAACGTTCAAAGTCATGGGTCGCTGAACTATGACGACACACAGACGAAAGTGAGTGAAACCTCACTGTAAAGTGAGGTTTACTGTACAGTATTCCCATATCTGTCCACCCTCACTCATCTTGTTTCATCACAGAAAATGTATATAAGAAGATTTCAACACATTAGCTAGCTATTCATGCTTCAGCCTTTAAATTAGTTTACTGAGAAATGTGTCCCACAAATCAGTGAACGAAAATCATTGAAACTCGGTCGTTCACTTGTGTGGACCATTCTGGCTGGTGTTTGGTTCATATGGTTCACTTGTGTGGACCATTCTGACTGGTGTTTGGTTCATATGGTTCACTTGTTGTGTGGTACACTTGTGTGATCCAACTTGTCTTATGAAGGCATTATTAATTGTAATCTGTGATAAAATGAGAAAGTTTTCCATCAGACTGTGAACTCTGTCTCGACATCGTAAGCAAATCCGAACCATTGTTTGTTGAACCGGGTGAGTAAATCCGGCCTGAAAAGTGTGCGAACTAGCCAGAGATTCGTTGAATCGAGGTTGTACTGTATTTAAGAACATTTACGTTCAGACTATAGTATGGTGTATGAAATTAAACCGAGTTGTGTAAATGGGGCCTAACTAGGGAAAGATTAACCTGAAGAATTACATTATACTGTATGTCTTATTCCTAACACACACACATGATTCCCTGTACAGTCCAGTTGATTTCAGCAACTCTTGCCATTTCCTAGTATCGGAACTCTACAAGTGTCGGCATTAATCAGTATATACTATATTAACACTTTCGTCCACCGATGACGAAGTATGGAGTCAAAATTTTAGTACCTTATTTCCACTCATGATGAAGTATGGAGTCAAAAATAAAAAAAAAATTGACCTGCTTTCAGCTTGGATGAGGGAGAGGTGCGCCGTGGTTTTGGACATTATATGCATATACGCCTGTAGGAAATTTCATTGCGAATACATTGATACCAAAATGAAAGACCTAGGACGAGAATTGAAGTAACAAAGTTAAAAAGAGTAAACCCAATTTATTGCTCTTGATGAGCGCTCATGGAGGTAACGTGCTGTCACTTTCTCTGTTTGCTGTGGGTGGTACACCGGACTTTTGGACATTATATTTGCATATACTCCTGTAGGGAATTCTATTGCGAACACAATGATACAAAAATGAAAGACCAAAGTGAAAAGAGTACACATTTCATTGCCCTTTAGCGCTCCTGGGTAACTTTCTCTCACTTTCTCTGTTTCATGCAGGTGGTACGCTGGGCTTTCGGACTTCATATGCATTTAATTGTATAGAGAATTCTATTGTGAACACATTGATATCAAATTGGAAAACCTAGGATGAGAATTGAGATGACAAAGTTGAAAAGAGCATACACTTTTAAGTATTACCGCTCTCTAATGGAAGGCCCGGCGCTCCTCCCTGCTCTCATCACCTGCTTTCATCACGTCGGTGGGTGGAGCGCGCCACGGTTTTTGACATTATATGCCTATATTCCTGTTGGGGATTTTATTGCGAACACAGTGATACCAAAATGAAAGACCTAAGACGAAAATTGAGGTGACCAAAGTGAAAAGAGTGTACACATTTTATCGCTCTTGTTCGCTCCCGGGTAACTTTCTTTCACTTTCTCCGTTTGCTGCGGGTGGTAAGCCAGGTTTCTGGAGTGTATATGCTTTTAGTCCTGTAGAGCATTCTATTGTGAACATATTGATACAAAATTGAAAAACCTAGGACAAGAATTAAGGTAAAGTTGAAAATAGTATACACTTTTCAGTATTACCGTTCGCTCCTGCGGAACGCCCAAAACCACTTGGACAGGTCGAGCGATTGACGTTGGCCCGTGAAAGTGTTAATGTCAATCTCAACAAGTGGAGTTTTGTTCTAAAATTATTAACTATCAAAATTCAACCTCATAATGTATATTAACTAATGCTGTAGTAGATTCCAGTTAATTAGACGACTTTGACGTTGAATGAACCTAAGTTGCATATTTACATGCAAAGTAAGGGAAGATATTTTTTTAAATACAGTATTATTAATTAATGAGTGTTCAGTGATGTACCCAATGTTATGCTCTGTCATATTTGTCTTGCTCGCAGGGCTACGGACGTTGGCAGTGAGTGCTTCCAGAGCCAGTGGTCTCTTGGCAAGCAAAGTATATTTCACTGGAGCAGTTGGACAGCCAAGTCTCCAGTCTTTAGGTGTTCTGTCAGCAAATACAGGTTCTACTGTGAGTGACAAGTATAGTACTCTTGGTTTATTTATGTGTTAACAAGTACGGGGACAGTTTTGTTTAATATTATTATATACATTTCTAGAGAAAATTCTAAATGTGGAGATTTTCTGAAAATAATGATAATGTTTCCGACAAAGTTGTCTGTCTCCGAACAGACCCGGGTCTGTGGGCATCAGCTCTGGGAAAAATGTGGTTACTGCTCTAAGTGTATAACATGAAGCCATGGTATACTGTATCATGTCTCCAGTACTGATAATGATTATATTTTTGGCTTTTAAAACTGCCTTATTTACAAAAAGCTTACTAAAAGAATAACTTGCCAATTTTTGAAAGTTAATAAAAAGCCAGATAATTAACATTATATAATAATATATAAGTAATTTTACCAGTTATTGGAGAACTCTCATTCAACCTCTTGAAACTTTGAAAATTGATCTCACGAGCATTGATAACTCTTAGGAATGGTTAACTGGTGTGTAATTTTAAATGTGAGAGAGAAATTCATTCCTTCACTCACTGTGTGGATTAGAATGTGGTGTAATAATTTACTGCTCAGTAAATTATTGTTCACTGTTACTCAAGTGTAGCCACTTTACATGGCTTGGCTACAGATAGTTCTTGATTTTCTTTAAATGTGGTGGAAGCTAAAACCATTAGTACAGTACTGTACAGGAGTTTCAAAGTGTCATACAGTATAGTATAATAAAGAGTACTGGGAAGACAAGATACCACAAGTGGAGCTCTCATCCTGGGATGAGATCATCTCATCATCATCCCGTTACCCCCATGCTCTCATGTTTATGTAATTACACTTAGGTAATTATCCCTCTCTACTTGTGCTAGAATATACAGTAATTCCTATTTTTAGGGACGGGGAGCCCGTACTTAAGCGTACCGATATACCCTAGGGATAACTGCTGACCTTAACCTGGATGTAACATACAATAGTTGCCCAATTCCCAGATTACTATTTACTACTAGGTGAACAGAGGCATCAGGTGAAAGGAAACATGAACAACCATTTCTGGCCCGTCTGGGGATCGAACCCAGGATCTGTACTATAGGATGCATATACAGTACATAAATGAATGAATAAATAATTACTGCAACATAATAATACAGTAATAAATTTTATCGGGGCACAGGAAGTCTGTGTATATAATAATTCCCCCTGTCGGGGGCAGGAAGTTTGTGTATTCAGTATTTGCACTTTGAGTTTATATTGAGGTCCCCCCAAGGTTGAACTGCTGACCCCCAAATGCGATCCCACAACAGTTGACAAACTCTCTGGTACTTATTTACTCCTAGGTGAACAGAGGCATTAGTTAGGTGAGAGGAAACTTGCCAGCTCTATCCATCATATGATTTATGTTTAAGATGTATTTTATTTCAGAGATGCGGGCTTCACACCTCATCAGTGTTGATGTGGGACAAGAGGAAGAATGCTTTTGGTTGGATGATGCACAATAAGACGGTGTACCCTCCAACTCCATTCGGAGAGGAACAAAGACCAGCAGTGAGTGGTATTTTCCCATGAGATGTGCATGTAGTCATTGTGCTCATTAGTAGTGAACATGTATACAGAATTACTTCAGACATTTGTATTCTTCCTGGCTTTATTCTTATGTTGTAAAAGTATTTCATTGTACTGTCCTGAATGTGCCTGGAGTACAGGTATGTACTCCTTTAATTTTTAAATAGTCTGCAGATTGTTTGTATATTTGATAATGATTTACAAGCACATGTATTGTTTCAGTTTTTGTGTCACATGAAGTCAAATATCAAGTACAGTCCTAAAAAAATGTGGTATGTGGCCTGCTTAGTACGTGGGCTTAGGATCGATGATGCCATCAATCAACTAAAATTTGTTCACAAGAAAGGATCGGAGGCTGCTAGAGAGACCCTCGAAGAAGCTCGAGAATTGGCTGTTAAAGAACATAATGTAGAGTTCCCAAGTAAACTTTGGGTCTGTAAGTATCACAGGAGTATTTAAATTGAATTCAAAGTAAAAATTAGACAAGCACATCTCGGGCACCTACAAATTTATTATGAGAAGCCTTTCATTCTGGTACCAGGGTCACATGTAACCATAGTCTCATTGGAGTGCCACTTGACTGGGGCCACATGTGACCCAACCCATCCTCTCGAGTAGTACATCACATTTTTATGTATAAATTCCCTAAGGCCAAAACTGATTTACCAAAAATCACGGCAGCTCTCAGAATTGATGTTATGTCCAGTTTTTCATTTACATCAGTTTAGTGATGTTGGGAATCCTTGAGAGGATGGGTTGTGTGACCTTATTCATACTGTAGTGCCAAGTGATGAGTTGTGGCTCTTCCCAGGTTTGTATCTACCACACAACAGTTACCATACACACTTGGAAAAGAAACCTGTTCTTTACCATTCTAATGATATTGCTTTTTTCTGTCATCTGTTGTAGTATCCCAATTTTTTGTATGGTAAAATTTGCTTGCCATCATTTCTTTTAATTCAGTTATCACTGACATCATCACTGACAAATAGGTCTCATTGAATCAGACCTATTTAATATTTTCATGTTCCAATGATGCTGTTCTATGTCACTTCATGTTTTGACACTGAATGATTGGAACATTCAACATTGGTTATTGCAACATTTCTGGGGGGAGCCCCTTCGGCTTCCCGGAGCTATCCAGGCTGAATGGATATATATAACTTTCTGGCATCAGTCAAAGTGCTTGGAGTTCTTGCCTACCGGGGACCACGAGCCAGAACCTGGCCCCCTCAGAAGAGGCACAAGGAGCAATGGCCTATAGAAACCCCCTGTGGTTGGGAGCATTCTATGTCTGCCATCGACCAGGACAGGCGCCCCAAAACAATCCCCTATTCTGGTAAACTATTGCTACCAAAAGCTGAACAAGTGGACAGAGCTCCCCAAACAAAAATTAGCAAATGAGCATGACGTCATCATGTTGCTGCACCACCGTCTGCGCACCCCCACCCCCCTCCCCGGGAGGGGGAAGGGGAAGCCCCAGACCTCTCGCGCCGGCGACCCAACACTAGTTCTTGGCTGATGGGTCTGGTGTCGTCACGTGCCTCTGGCTACAGAGTTCTTTTGTCTCGGTCCTGTGTTTGGTGGCGTAGACTGTCTCTCCAGGGGGTGTGTGAGCCAGGATGATTTTCCAAGGTACTTGGGCTGCATGTGCCTAGGACTGCCTTCCCTAGGTGCCCGGTAAGTATTGCCCTTGGGGCCTCCTTCCACAAGTCACCTTGGGATCTGCTCCCGTGGTGCCTTTTACTGCTCGGTACTGGGCTGCCCTTGGGGTCTGCTGGGGTTTTCTCGCCCTTGTGAATCCCTGGGTAGGGGTGGTTTTTGTCACTGGTAGGGGCACAGGGTACTGCACAGCTAGTCATTTAACATTATAGCGGCTGGCTCTGTTCTGCTCGGGTACGTTGTCCTCTTGCAAGATTTTTCTTTTGTTTTTGTTTTCTGCCTGGTAGGAGGGTCTCCCTGTTATTCCCTTCCCTGGGTGGGATTTGCATTTTTATATTGTTTTGGTGGTGTCTCCCACTAGGCCCCCGTGAGTGGACACGTCCCGGAGGCTCAGCTTTTAGAGGTTTGTTTGGTAGACTTGGGCGCTGGTTCGCAGTACCCTGCCTGAGCTTCCCTTAGCATGACACCAAGGCTAAGGGCCCTGGGAAACCCCGAGGGGGCTATGTAGTCCGATGGATATGACCCCTGAGCCCCCCCCCCTCGTGTCTTGAGAGGTTGAAGGTTGCTGTTTCCTTGCATCAGGGTGACACTTACCGGTTTTGCCTCCGCCGTGCTGCCTGTTGGGTCGGTAATTCCTTTGACCCAGAGTCATGTGATGTTTGTTGTCTGTTCATGCTCCAGTTCACCCAAGCCTCTGATACTGATATGAGAGTGCAGGCAGCAGCCGCGTTGCATGCTAGGTTTAGGTTGCTGCAAACCGCTAGGTTACTTGCAGCCCCGGATGCCCCGAGACTGCCCCGTTTTGGTTATAGGGACCCGGACTTGGGGGGTGGGGGGGTCACTTCAGCTCTGGTTCCGTCCGCCCCTCCTCGTCTTTTCCCTTCCATTGTACATTCGGTTCCTTCCCCCTTGCTTTTGGCCCTGCAACGTCTGAGGGTTTCTGGGTCGGAGCAGGGTTTAGTTGGTCGAGACTCGGGCGGTCTCGGGGGAGTCCCCTTCTGGGGTTGTGGCGGTGGCATTCGAGTCTGGTCCTCCTGCCGGAGCTTCTGGGTCTGACCAGTGGGCCCCCTTTGTTCCTGCTTTTGCGGCTGCTCCCGCCTCTTCTTTAGGGGCGGTGGATTTGGAGGACGGCTCGGCCCCGGGTCCCCTGGGTTGGGTTCCTGGGGTGGCGGAGGGGGGTTGACTTGGGGGGCCTTGGGCCCCCAAGTCAACCCCCTTCAGTGTTTGTTCAGTCAACCCCCCCAGTGTTTGTTCAGTCAACCCCCCCAGTGTTTGTTCGCTCCTGCCCTTCCGTGGGAGGTAGGCGTGATGCAGCTTCATGTGCAGGTTCCCTCCCTTTCGGCTGCTTTGGTGGCGGAAGATTTGCGTACTCGGGGTCTGCTGGCTGCAGCTCTGCGTTTCTTTTCCCTCCTCAAGCTGTCCTCAGATTGGCTTGCGTTGGGGGGCCGCTGGGGTTCGAGTGCGCTGCCCACTGCTGTGCAGTCGTCGTCTGCTTTGTTGAAGCTGTTTGAGCCAATCCTGAAGGATGCGGTTTCGCGATTTTGTGCTTCTCGCCTCGTGTGCCGGCAGGCGGTGCTTGCTTCTTCCTTGGAATCCACTTGGGCCCTGGCACTTAGGTTGTCTTCCCCTTTTTGTCTGTTGTTGTTTGCTGAATCTGCTGTGGTGCAGTATCTGCACCACAGATACACTTCTGTGGTGCAGTATCTGCAAGCGGCTTCGGTTAGTTGTAGGCCGATGTCGGATTTGTTGGTTCTCCGGCGGGCTCGTGGGGGGCGCCTTCCCGTAGAGGTCGTGCCAGGGCTCGGAGTTTGGTCCGTTGTGGTAGGCCAGAGGTGTCAGATTCGGGGTTGGCGCAGCCTTCAGTTCTGTTTGTTTCTATTCAGTGCGGGGTTCGCCCTGTGCTGTTTAGGTTCTTGTAAGGTGTGTCGGCCCTTTTGTGGTTCGCCCCATTGACAGGGCGATGGGGGGGAGGCTTGCGCTGTTCACTCGCGCCTGGTCCCATAATTCGTGGGCTTTTTGGGTGGTCTCGCGCGACTTGTGGTGGTGTTGGGTGGCTTCTCCTCCCTCGGGGGTTTCTGGGCTTGCGGGGCAGGCCTCCTTTCCTGCGCTCTGTCAAGTTATCTCGGAGTGGGTTCGCTTGGGCGTGGTCGAAACGACTTTGTCCCTCCGGTGGGTTTCCCGCCTGTTCCCAGTCCCGAAACGGGACTATGCGGACCTCTGGTTCATTCTGGACTTGTCCCGTCTGAACCCGTGGTTTTTTTTTTTGCTCCTCCTTCAGGATGACTACTCTGTCTGAGGTCCGTCTTCTCTTGGAGCCGGGCGCTTGGATGGTGTCCATGGACCTCAAGGACCTGTATTGGCACGTCCCAGTTCATCCGTGGTTCAGGGACTGGCTCAGGTATGTTGTGGGATGTCAGGCTTACCGCTTTATTTGCCTTCCTTTCGGCTTGACTCTTGCGCCTCGGGTGTTTACTCTCCTTACTCCGGTCATGGTGGCCCGGCTGCAACTTTTAGGTGTGCGGGTTCTGGCCTACCTCGACGACTGGCTGGTTTGGGCCCCCAGCCAGTTCGCGTGTCTGCTCGCCAGGAATTTGGTTCTTTCCCAGCTCACCGGGTTCAGGTTCCTTGTGAACTGGAAGAAGTCCCATCTGGTTCCCTCCCAGGTTCGGTCTTGGCTGGGTCTTCAGTGGGACGCTCATACCGCTTCCTTGTCTCTTCCTCCAGTGGCTCTGCTTCGCCTGCGTTCCCGCCTGCGTCTGTTTCTGAAGGGCTCCCGGGTCACGAGACGGTTGCTCGAGAGTTTGTGTGGGAGCCTGAACTTTGCCATGTTGGTCTATCCGCCGGGTAGTGTTTGGCTTCGTTGGCTGTTCTAGTTCGTTTGGGGTCGTCCCTTCCGCCTCTCTCGCGATCGCTGGGTTCGTCCCTCAGGGGCCTTATGTCAGCTGTTGCGTCGTTGGGTTCCTCTACGGGTTTTTCGGGGTTCAGTGCCTTGGTGCCTGCCTGAGCCTTCGCTAGATGTGTTCACGGACGCTTCGTCTCTTGGCTGGGGTTTTGTGACCAGTGCTCACAAGGCTGGCCAGGAGCGGTGGTGTCGATCTTTCTGTCTGCTCCACAGCATGGTGCGGGAGTTCGCGGCGGTTTGGTTGTCGCTCAGGAGAGTTCGGGTCGCTCACGGATCGACAATCGGGCTCCATTCGGACTGCTGCCCAGTGGTTCATTGTCTGAACCGTGGGGGTTCGATGTGGTCCTTGGCTCTTTGGAGCTGGTCGCTTCGGGTGACTCGTCTGCTGAGTTCTCGAGGTTTGGCTCCTGGCGGTCACGTTCGGGGAGTGTCCAATGTCTTGGCAGACGGCCTGTCACGGTTCATTCCCTTGTCCATGGAATGGACGCTCGACACCAGCTCCTTCAGTTGGCTCTGCCGGACGTTGCTCTGGGTCCTGGCTCGCTTGGAGACTTGCCAGGGGAGAGTTGTCCTTCTGGCTCCTTGGTGGCCGACCCAGCCTTAGTTTTAGGCACTGCTTGCTTGGTGTCCGAATCCAAGGGTCTTCCCGCGGCTCCGCCTCTTTCAGCAGATGGGGCCAGTCCGGTACAAGGTTGGTTTGGTCTTCTCCTCGAGCCTTCGCGCATGGAGTTTTTGACTCGAGTTTATCGTAACTTGTATGGTGCGCAGGTGGCTTCGTTGTTGGTCTCCCACCTGCGTGCTTCGTTTCGGCAGCAGTATGAAGTTTCCTGGCGGTCCTTCCATTTTTTCCTATCACTGTGTAGGTGTTCTTC